ACCCAGAGTAGTTTTTGATGGTCTCGGGGCCCGGTGAGGCCCCCAGGGGCCGAGAACGACCAAGAGCTTCCAGAGTCGTGCTCTTTCCCAACCCTCCTGCGTGGTGGGTCCTCGTCTTGAATTCGCAGCGCCGCGCGTCGCCTTCCTCTCATCTCCTCTCCTCCTCCCCACTCCGTCCATTTTCTCATCCTCCTCTTCCCCCTTCCCATCACGACAGCCACCACCACTGGCGTCATCATCATCATCATCATCATCATCATCATCATCATCATCATCATCATCATCATCAATTCCTTCTCCTGAGAGAACTTCTCCCTGTCGCACCCCGAGGCAACTTTTAAGGGCGGGCCGGGCGTTTCGCCTGAGACTTCCTCACCATTTATGACCCTGAAGTGAAACATTGGCAACAGTTTCGCAGATGGAGGGCGGGTGGTTTTCAAAATGTGGCATTCGCCTTAGTGCCGCACGCATTCGTTTGAAAAAGCAAGAGTTTCGCGGATTGAGGGCGGGTGGTTTTCAAAATGTGGCTGTCGCATTAGTGCCGCGCACATTCTTTTTAAACATTTGCAAGAGTTTCACGGATTGGGGACGGGTCCTTTTCAAAATGTGGTTCTCGCCTTAGCGCCGCGCACATTCGTTTTGCCCATTTGCAAGAGATTCACAGATTGGGGACGGGTCCTTTTCAAAATGCGGCTCTCGCCTCAGCGCCGCGCACATTCGTCTCTTAGAATTTGCAAGAGTTTCACGAATTGAGGGCGCGTCGTTTTCACCATGTGGCTCTCGCTTTAGCGCCGCGCACACTCGTCTTTTATGTAAAAAATACAGGAGTTTCACGAATTGAGGGCGGGCCGTTTTCAACATGTGGCTCTCGCTTTAGCGCCGCGCACATTATATATACGTATGTATATATATATATATATATATGTTTTTAAAGAACAGCAATGTATTATTTTCTTTTTTTTGTCATTTTGTTTTGTTTTGTTGTGTATATATATATATATATATATTTAACTCATTGCAAGCGTTTTGCGGATCCAGGGCGGTTCCTTTTCAAAATGTGGCTCTCGCCTTAGCGCCGCGCACATTCTTGATACAAAATTCTAGGCGCTTCGCGTATCCCCACCAGTTCTCGGTGGCAGACAGACTCCCTGGGTTTGCCACTTGCACGTCCCTGGGCGTCTTTGCAGACTCCCTGGATTGCACGCTCGCCTGGCCTTTCAGACGCCCTGGGCGCTGCCGTCCCTCGCCGCCTGATCCGCGGCCCCCGCGCGCGCTCGGGAATTTAGTCGCGGCCGCAGCCCGACCGTGACCGCCCGCCGTCGGCGCTTTCCCCTGCGGCTGTAAAAAAAAGTATCCCCACCAGCCCGTCCAGAAACGACGCCCAGGCGAGTAGAGGGTCGTCCTGAGGGGCTTTTCGGCGTCTTGGGGGTGCCTCGGGGGGGCCTCTGTGGGCCGTTCGGGATCCTCTTTGGGGCCTCCTGAGGGCCTCTTGGGGCCTCTTGGGGCCATCTTGGGGCCCTTGGGGGCCTCCTGGGCGCTTCTTGGGGCCTCCTGGGGGCTTCTTGGGTGCCTCTGGGGGGTCTCTTGGGGCCTCTTGGGGGTCTCTTGGGGGCCTCCTGGGGGCCTCTTGGGGGGCCTCGGAGCCATCTTGGAGGAGATCGATCAACGAAGGGGGGTTACCTAATTACAGTCCCCCCCTCAGGAGCCACGATCCTCGTGAGGGGTGTCGAATTTTAGCCCTCCCAGGTGTCGATCTTGGGCGCTCCAACGCGCCGCGGAACCCCCTGTCCAGGTCAGCGGGGAGGGGGTAGGGGGAGGGGTAAACCCCTCCCCGAAAGGGGAAGAAGGAGGGGTGGAAGAGGAAACGCTCTAAACCACCGACGCCCAGAGGGCTGGTGGGATTGCACGAGTTTCGCGTACCAGAAATGGTGTTTTGTAAGGATTTACGATTTTGAGGGCGCAACAGTTACGATGATTCGCGGAGTTGAGGTCCCAGGAATGGCGTTCTGGCGCGATTCAGGGTCGTCAAGACGCAACAGCCAGGTTCATCCGTGGCGTTGGGATACTGAGAATAATGTTTTGGCATGCTTCAGGGTCTTCAAACGGTTGTCTTCCAACGAGGCAGGTCCCTCTGTGGAGGTGAACCGTTGTATGGGGCCTATGAAGAGGGGGCTTAGGGGGAGGGTTTAGTCTAACATCGTTGGTGACTCTTGGGTTTACACTTGTCATCCTCCTCCTCCTCCTCCTCCTCCTCCTCATCATCATGACCACCATCATCATCATCATCATCATCATCATCATCATCACCATCCCCATCATCATCACCATTACCATCACCATCCTCATCACCTTTATCATCGTCACCATCACCATAATCATTACCACCATCACCATCACCGTTATCTTCTTCTTCTTCATCAGCATCATCATCTTTACCATCGCCATCATCGTCGTCATCACCATCATCATCATTACCATCTCCATCACCATCACCATCATCGCCATCACCATCACCATCATCATTATCATCACCATCACCATCACCATTACCATCACCATCACCATCACCATCACCATCACCATCACCATCACCATCACCATCACCATCACCATCACCATCACCATCACCATCACCATCACCATCACCACCGTCATCATCATCATCATCACTACCATCATCATCAGCATCATCATCATCACCATCAATATCGTCATCATCAATCACAACATCACCATCACCATCATCGTCGTACCAGCATCATCTTCATCGTCATCATCATCACCATCACCACCACCATCACCATCATCATCATCACCATCATCATCATCATCATAAACACCATCATCATCACCACTATCACTATCATCATCATCATCATCATCATCATCATCGTTAGTACTATCATCATCATCAGCATCATCACTATCACTATCGTCATAATCATAATCATAATCATCATCATCATCATCATCATCATCATCATCATCATCATCGTCATCATCATCATCATCATCATCATGAATATCATCATCATCATCATCATCATCATCATCATCATCATCAGCATCATCATCATCATCATCATCATCATCATCATCATCATCATCATCATACTCATACTCATCATCATCATCTCCAGATTCTCTACCTCCGTCAGCATTCTCATCACCGTTTCGCCACACCCCTCACACTTCGCGGCCCCACGAGGAGCCCCACCGACGGCCTCAGTGGCAGGGTCCGCATGGTCACCCGCTCCATTTCGGCGCACCACTTTCACGCTTTGTGGCCCCGTAGGGGGCTCCGCCGAAGGCCCCAGTGGCAGAGTCCGCATGGCTACCCACCCCATACCAGCGCACCATTTGCACATCTCGTTTCCCCATGGGGAGCTCCACCGAAGGCCCCAGTTGCAAAGTCCACGTGGTCACCCGCCCCAATTCGGCGCACCCCTCATACGTTTCGTGGCCCCCTGGGGAGCTCCACCGAAGGCCCCAGTGGCAGAGTCCGCATGGTTGGCGCACCACTTACATGTCTCGTGGCCCCACGGGGAGCTCCGCCGAAGGCCCCAGCGGCAGAGTCCGCATGGCTACCTCACACGTTTCGTGGCCCCATCAGGGAGCTCCGCCGAACGCCCCGCCCCAGTGGCAGATTCCGCATGGTTAGCCGCCCATGTCGGCGCACCCCTCATAGGCTTCGTGGCTGGGGAGCTCCACCGAAGGCCCCAGCGGCAGAGTCCGCATGGTTGGCGCACTACTTGCACGTCTCGTGGCCCCACGGGGAGCTCCGCCGAAGGCCCCAGCGGCATTGTCCGCATGGCTACCCGCCCCAATTCGCAGCGGCAGAGTCCGCATGGCTACCCGCCCCAATTCGGCGCATCCCTCATAGGTTTCGTGACCCCATGGGGAGCTCCACCGAATGCCCCAGTGGCAGAGCCCGCATGGTGACCTGGCCCGTCTCGGCGCACACCTCACACGTTTCGTGGCCCCATCAGGGAGCTCCGCCGAATGCCCCGCCCCAGTGGCAGATTCCGCATGGTTAGCCGCCCATGTCGGCGCACCCCTCATAGGCTTCGTGGCTGGGGAGCTCCACCGAAGGCCCCAGCGGCAGAGTCCGCATGGTTGGCGCACCACTTGCACGTCTCGTGGCCCCACGGGGAGCTCCGCCGAAGGCCCCAGCGGCATTGTCCGCATGGCTACCCGCCCCAATTCGCAGCGGCAGAGTCCGCATGGCTACCCGCCCCAATTCGGCGCATCCCTCATAGGTTTCGTGACCCCATGGGGAGCTCCACCGAATGCCCCAGTGGCAGAGCCCGCATGGTGACCTGGCCCGTCTCGGCGCACACCTCACACGTTTCGTGGCCCCATCAGGGAGCTCCGCCGAATGCCCCGCCCCAGTGGCAGATTCCGCATGGTTAGCCGCCCATGTCGGCGCACCCCTCATAGGCTTCGTGGCTGGGGAGCTCCACCGAAGGCCCCAGCGGCAGAGTCCGCATGGTTGGCGCACCACTTGCACGTCTCGTGGCCCCACGGGGAGCTCCGCCGAAGGCCCCCGCGGCAGCGTCCGCATGGGTGCCCGCCCCACTCGCGGCGACGCCTCAGGGGGACTGCAGATCTCTCCATCGGGCCCTGCGTGTGGAGCGCTCCTGCCAGTGGTCGCCACCCGTTTGTGATGGGCGGGGCTCCTCGCCAGGCCGACCTTTCGTGGCCGCGGAGGGGAGTCTTTGGGGTACCCTTCTGTTCCTTCTGGTGGACGACACAAGAGCATCCGACGACACGGGTTGCCGATGGTGGTTACAACTTGCCTGCGACACTTGTGTGTGTGGCACAGATTGGAGGGACAATTTTTCGCGCATGCGACGGCTTCTGTATGAACATCTCAGGCACCACGGTGTAAGGGCCCTGGCCCGCCCGCGCCGACCCTCAAGGGTCCCGCTCCGGCGGACTTGCGCGCTTCGCTTCGCTTCGCTTCGCTTCGCTTCGCTTCTGTTCCTTCTGCTCCCGCAGGTGCGCCTCGAGCACCATCGTGCTGCAGGACCCCCGCGTCTCGCTGCGCCACTTCGAGATCCGCCTCCTCCGCGGCGCTGGGGACGGCGGGCCGCCGTGGCTGGAGCTTCGGGACGAGTCCAGCAACGGCACGTGGCTGAACGACCGGCGCGTCGGCAAGGACCGAAGTTCCAGTCGGGCGTCTCCCTCTGCAGGCTGCGTGTTCAAAAGCAGTCACGCTGGGGACGATTTGTTGTCTATTTCTGGGCATTCTGTGCATATGTTTCGAGCGTTTCTTATTTGTCGTCCAGAATCCGCCTGCAGGAGGACATGCCCGACCTGAATCTATGCCTGCCAGATGGGGTCATAGCAGCTGGTGCCTCTGGCGATCTGATTTTCTCACTCCGGGTGATTTCCACGGATTTCGGCGCCTGGGGTCCTTTCATCGGGCCCCAGGGCTGTCAGATAAAACTACCCCCGGGGAAGGGGTCGGGATCTCTGGGGCCGCGGATGGACCAAGATCCCGCTGGCGGATGTCAGGGTCCATGGCCTCCCAGAGGGGGGCACAGCAGACGGGGTCAGAGGATCGCGCCACATCGCTGACGCATCGGCGTTGCGGGTCGATGTAGAGCTCGATTCTCTCCACGCCGACGTCGCCGACGCCGCCGATGCATCGCCGATGCGTGGGCGACGCGGCGCGGTCCTCCGGCCCAATCTGCGCGGACCCCTCTAGACCAGGGCTCGAGTCAAGCTGTGCTTCGGCGACTTCGTTGGCCGCTCTCGTTTCGCTTTCGTCCTGCAGCACGTGCGGAGCGGAGACAGAAAGGGAACGCGGGGACAGAACGAGCGCGGGAAGCACTTTCCGGGTCGAGACTTGGCAAGGACAGCGGTGCGCCGCTGGCGACGGGCGACCGCATCTTTGTCCTGCCGGCGGCGCGAGTGGGGCAGGGCGAGGCGATAGGCTACATTGTCACCGCCGCTCCAGCGCTGCCAGTGGCGGGCGGCGGGCGGCCGCTGGGGCTCTCGAGGAAGAAACGGCCACACACATCATGGAAGGGGCCCAGGGACACACAAATCAATGCACAAATCCCAGGAACTCCCATATTTTCCCATACTTTCTGGGTTTTCGTCTTCCCCCCCCACTTCCCATGTTTTCCTGGGAATCGACGATTCATTGTGTCTGTGTGGCTTCCCCCCTCCTGAATCATCACGGGTGGTTCAAAGATGGGGTCCTGAAGGATGGGGTCCTCAGGACGAGGTGTTTCAAACAATAGAAGGCCACCCTTGGATCCCTTCCTATCCTTAATGCCCCATGCCGCAGCACCCCATCTTCGAACCAGGGCTGAACCGATACGGTGTTTTGGCGATTTCGTGGGCCGTTTTCGTTGGCTTCGTTTTGCGGCAAATGTGGATTGAAGACAAAACGAGGGAAAACGAAGACAAAACGAACACGAAAAACACCGTTTAGGTTCAGCCCTGCTTCGAGCCACCACCCGCATCAACGTTCTGAGGTCCGCACGGACTCCTTGGGTCCTCGCTGTGCCCGCTCGTGGCGACGTCTCCATCGCCACGCCTGGCGCGTTCCGCGCGCCAGGGATTCAAGGGCTCCCCCGAGGGCGCGAAGTTATTCGCGCTTCGCGCTTCGCGGTCCTCGTTTCTCCTCCCCCTCCTCCTCGTCCTCCTTTTCTCCCTTTGGGGGGGCGGCGCGAGAGCGCGAAGTTATTCGCGCTTCGCGCTTCGCGCAGCGCGAAGCGCGAAGTTGGGAGCCCTAGGGGATTCTTGCTGGCGTCGGCCCAATAACCGGAAGGCGCCAACGATCGTCCTGGGCCCAGGATCGGCGCAGGCGCCCTCCTGGCCTGGCTTCGAAGCCGCGGGCACCAGTCCAGGGCCTCCTCCTCCTCCTCCTCCTCCTCCTCCTCCTCCTCCTTCTCCTCCTCCTCTTCCCTCCTCCTGGTTTAAGCCCACCCAGGATCCGGTGCGTGTGTATAGCTGGCGCCCATCCAGAACAAATCGCGCGGACCCTCAAGAGTTCTGTTTATGGAGTCTTTTCAAGTTGGGCTTGCGAGATTTGGCAAGAGCTCCCGAGCCGCATCGTACACCCTGCATGCAGTCAAGACTGATAGTAAGGATGAGCGACTTTCCAAGGTTACCCTTGCATCATTTCCCTTCGGCCAATCCTTGGTCACCTTCGCTGTCCAGCCCCTCAGGGTACCCTTGGGGCGAGCTGCATCCTTCGGTTGCGCGATGCGACGTCCCTTGGGGCCGAGCCCTAAGGATGCGCGACGGACAGGGCACCATTGGTCATCCTTGGGTGCGTCTCCCCTGCCCTCACGCTCGTGCGCGGGCGCGGCCCCAAGGATGCTGGATGGGCAGGGCATGCTCGGCCCTCCTCGGACCCGTTTTTGCGGGGAAAAGATCTCACAAAAAAACAACACACAAAAAACAAACCACACACAGAAACCAACACAATATAACACACAAAACAACACCCGTTTTTTTTGTGTGTGTTTTTCCCCCACGTGTGTGTTTTTGTTGTTGTGTTGTTTTTCTCCCATTCGCACCAGGGCGCGGTCCTCAGTGTGCGCGCTGGGCAGAGAGCACCTTTGGCCATCCTCGGGCACGTCTTCCCTGCCCTCCCGCTCGCGGGCGGGCGCGGCCCCGGTGACGCTGGCATGGCAGGGCACCCTTGGCCGTTCTCGGACCCGCCTTTCTGCCTCTTCCGGCTCGCGGTGGGGCGCGGCCCTCGGGCTGCGCGCCGGGCAGGGCACCTTTGGTCCCCCTTTGGGCACGCTTTTCCTGCCCTCCCGTTCGGTTGGGCGTGCTGATGTTCGTCTGCTGCCTGGGTTCGGTCGTGGGCTTGCGGCTCGGGGAGGCTTGATGGCGGTGCCGCCGCCCTCGGGTGTCGGGGCCTCGTTGTGCATCAAGGGTCTCGTGAATGCAGGCGGTAGGTTCTTCTCTCCAGGGGTGTTCCTCCTGTTCCTTCTCCTCCTCTTCCGCCTCCTGCTCCTCCTCCTGCTCCTCCTCCTCCTCTTCCGCCTCCCCCTCCTCCTCCTCCGCTTGCTCCTCCTCCTGCTCGAAGAACAACCAACATGGAGATAAACTTTTTGGCGCTCCGCGCGCCAGGGAGGGGGGTCCAGCGCATATCCAAGAAATCTGCGCGGAGCGCCAAACAGTTTATGGTTTATGCCGTTTTTCTTCTGTCAGGATGCGGGTCGAGCAGGACGCCCTTGCGCATTCTGGCCACCTCACCGTGCCCCGCGTCGCACGCCTGTGGAGCGCCATTGAGGATGCGGGTCAGACAGAGCGCCCTTTCGCATCCTTTCCGACCTCTATGGGGCGCCATCTCAAAATGCGGGCGGGGCAGGGCGCCCTTGCGCATCTTGGCCACCTCGGGGGCGACCCTAAGGATGAGTGCTGGGTAGGGTGCCCTTGCGGGTCCTTGCCGCCGTATTCAGCACCGCGCATGTACATCGGGATGCGGGACATTTTCAGGATACCCAGAGCCAGTTGGGCAAGAACGGAGATGTACTCGGGTGCTCTTGCATCCTTCGGTTTTCGGCAGCGCCCCTCTCGAAAAACGACAACACGGCCTTCCACTGCCCTTGCATCTTTGTCGTGCGTCCTCACTGTAAATTTTAACTGTACCGCGGCCGCCAGGCCCAAAGCGTGCTGGTGCTCTCTGGGTGTCCCGTTTCGCGTCTTCAGCGAATGGCCTTGCATGCCGCGGCCATTGGGCCCAGAGTGTGCTGGTGCTCCCTGGGGATCCCTCCTCGTGCTCTTCGGTGGGGATCGCTCGGCGATGTATCGCCGATAGAGATCAGTCCTGGGCCCCCGACGGCGAAACTGCGCAGCGGGCTATCAGGCCCCCACCGTCGGCGATGAGGCAACTGGGGGTCGATGCGTCCCCTCTGAGCCTATCCCCGCCCATGCAGTTTCTCTTCCTCCAGGCTCGAGCACGAGTTCGCGGAGGGCGTGAGCTGCAGGCTCTGCACCGAGGCGCCCGTGCACCGCTGCCTCACCGCGGTGCCCTGCGGCCACCACTTCGACCTCGGCTGTCTGGCCGTGTGGCGGAAACGGTCCGCCAGGTGCCCTGAGTGCGGCGAGGGCATCCGACAGGCGTGCCTCGTTGTTTGTTTGGTGTTTCTTGTTGTTAGTCGGTCTCAGTTGTTTCCAAGTTGTGTGTACCTGTGTTTGTACATGTGTGCATCTGTATGTGTGTGCATGTGCATGTGCGTGTGTGTGTGTGCATGTGTGTGTGTGTGTGTGTCTGTGCCAGGGTGGGCCCCAAACAGTGAGACGTTGCACGGTTGATGTGTGAGCTACGCCACGTAATCTGTGAGGCGTGATCTATGGGTTGCCAGCTGTGACGTTTAGGTTCCGCGGCGCAATCTATGTGGTGCAAAGTATGTGGTGGGAGCTATGCGGGGTAAGCCATGTGGTGTAAGCTATGTGGTGCAGTATGTGGTGTGATGCGGCCTGAGCTGAGTGAGGCAATTTCAGTTGTACGAGCTGTGACATCTGCGCTGTGCTGTGGATTCCATGACCTACGAGGTGCAAGGTCTGTGGTGCAATGCTTGTGGTGTGAGCTGCGCAGTGCATGCGCGGAGTGCCCACGAGGCGCCCACGAAGCGGCAGCGTGGCGGCACCTCGGCGGGCCCTTCCAGCGCACGAGGCGCCCACGAAGCGCCCGCGGGCGGTGGCGTGGCGAAACCTCGGCGGACCCACCCAGCGGCCGGGGCGCCCACGAGGCGCTCGGGGGCGGCAGCGTGGCGAAACCTCGGAGGGCCCGCCCAGAAGAAGAATGCGAACCAATCACAATACCGATCATAATAATAAGACGACGGCTCCGAATAATACGCATAACTACTGATACCAATAATACGGCTACTATTAACAATCCGAATAACAGTAAGACGGATACTAATCGTATTCACAACCACAGCAATTTCAGTAACACGAAAAGAATACGAATACTTTGGCACCGCATAATACAAAAAAAACATAATGGTACGACTGAGCGTACTACCAATACAAATACTAGTACGAATAAAGTATTAACACTAATACCACACATATTGCTCATACGAATATCAAGCATAATGAGAGGAATATGTTCATAACACTAGTAATACCAGTAAAAATCATAAGAACACTACGAACAACAATAAGACGTTTGCGACACATCATAATACTATTACAAATAATACTAAAGCGCAATTAATACTAATACTAAACGTAATACTGCTATGCATACGAGGAGGGGGAAGAGGAGGAGGAGGAAGAGGAGGAGGAGGCGGAAGCGGAGGCGGACTACTACTATTCATAAGAAGACGGATCAAACAGGGGAGGATGAGGAAGAGGAGAGGAGGAGGCAGAGGAGGAGGAGGAGGAGGTGGAAGCGGAGGCGGAGGCGAATAATAATAAGGAAGAGGAGGCGGAGGAGGAGGAAGAGGAGGAGAAGGCGGATCGTATTATTATTCATCATAATAAGAGTAAGACGATTAATACTACGAATGCGACTACTACGAATAATAAGACGAACAATAAGAACACATGATACGACTCATTATAATAAAACGTAAACTCAGACGAAGAATAATGCAAGCACGAATCAGACGAATACTACTAACACGAGTCGGCATAATAACAATACTTCGAATCATAATACTAACAATAATAAGTGGAGGAGGAGGAGGAGAAGGAGGAGGAGGAGGAGGAGGAGGAGGAGGAGGAGGAGGAGGAGGAGGAGGAGGAGGAGGGGAGTAGCAGGAGGAGGAGGATGAGCGGAATCGGAGGCGGAGGCGGATGAGGAGGATAAGGAGGAGGAAAAGTAGGAGGAGGAGGACGAGGAGGAGGAGGAGGAGGAGGAGGAGGAGGGGGAGGAGGTTCAGGAGGGGGAGGAGGAGGAGGAGGAGGAGGAGGAGGAGGAGCGAGGGAGGAGGGAGGAGGAGGAAGGAGGAGGAGGAGGATTTGTCCGCGAGGCTTCAGCTGCTTGTGATTCTGGCAGCTCAGGCGACTGAGCTGGACAGGAGCAGGTGGCACTGCAGCGAAGGAGACACCTGCTGTGGAACTTAGCCATGTCCGAGCCCGATCGTGCACAGCAAATGCACTATGTTTGGGCGTGCCGGCCCATCCGTTATCGATGCTTTGTCCCACCATGTGGGATAACGGAGGTGCAGTTTAACAGAAAAGGTCTTGCAACATCTTGCTGGTGAAGCGATTGCCAGCAACATGGAACAACATAATATTGACATGATTTTCCAGCGAATTAACACACAACCCTAAGACGCAACGAACATGTCACGAATTTCGGTCTGCATTAGTCCGATCCCGACCCAGCCTCCACCCCGCGCTCAGGCCCCGCACTCCCACTGGGGCTGCCTCCAGCAGCTCTTAGTAACCTCCGCACCTTCGCGTTGAAAGTGCTGGTCGGTGGCGTCGGTGCTGGGCAGAGTGGCGCACTATCATCCTCATCAGCGAGCTGTTCTCGCACGATGCGGAGGGCGACACGCTCAACGCAGCTATCAGAAGGCTCCGCGGCATCAGGCTCCGAAGGGGGAGTCTCTGCCGCCGGGGCTTCGCCAAGAGCCAGAGGGGCTTCGAGGCCCACGAAAGGGGCAGCAAAAACTGAGGGTGCAGGAGACGGGGCCGCTGGTACAGGCTTGACCTGCTCGGCTTCCGCGCCCTTGGGAACCTGAGCGCGCGAGGGCTGAATCGCTGGGTGCTGGGTAGCCGACCGAACGAGAGCTGCCGCGATGCCATCGATCCGGCGTTCTTCGCCAACCGAGGGGTAATCGGACGCTGCGCCGCTCGCGCGAGGAATAGGGACTGGCTCGCCGCCTTCTCTCATGACCGTCGTGAACAATGTCTCATCATCCCGAGGAGGGAGGAGGAGGAGGAGGAGGAGGAGGAGGAGGAGGGGGAGGAGGTTCAGGAGGAGGAGGAGGAGGAGGAGGAGGAGGCGGATGAACGAGGAGGGCGGAGGGAGGGGGATACATATATATATATATATATATATATATAGATACATGTATGTGTCTGTCTGTCTGTCTGTCTGTCTGTCTGTCTGTCTGTCTGTCTGTCTGTCTGTCTGTCTGTCTGTCTGTCTGTCTGCATGCATGCATGCATGCATGCATGCATGCATGTATGTATGTATGTATGTATGTATGTATGTATGTATGTATGTATGTATGTATGTATGCATGTATGTATGTATATATACATATATACATATATATATATATATATATATCCCGGCGGAAGAGGATCGGGGCCGCCAGGAGTGTGCCTGCGCCCTCCATGGGGGCTCTGGGCCTCACCCTCCGTGTGTTTTTACAGGGTTTCGGCGTTCCGGGGCTTCCGAGGCGCCAGCGGCGACCCCAGACCTTTTGTTGACCTTCGGACGGAGGCCCAAAACCAGCCCCAGAGCGCTCCAAGACGGCCCACGACGCCTCCTACACCGTACCAAGACGGCCCCAGAGAGCTCCAAGCGGCCCCCACGACGGCTTAAGAGGGCCCCAAGACGGCACAAGAGGCACCGCAAACGGTCCAAGCGAGTTCCGACACGGACCCCGAGAGGTGAAAAAAGAAGCTCACAGAGGCCCTCAACATGCCCAGGCCGCCCAAGAGGCCAAACAAGGCCCCGAGATAGACCAACACATACCCCAAGAGGCTTGAAAAAGTGCGTCTCACCGTGCTTCTCGTCCGCCTTATAACCTTCCTGCTCCTCTTTTCTTCTGGTTGTCGAGCTCTCTCCCGGTCTCAGGAAATATATTCCCAGAGCTGCCAGGAACAGCATTCCTCGAGATTTGTTTGTTGTTCTTCGCCGCCCTGCTCCATCGTTATTCCCTGATCCTCCGCCTGCTGGGGCTGCTCTTCGTGCTACTCCCGCACCTCCCCCTTCCCCCTCCTCCCGCTCCCCTTCTCCTCCTCCTCACCCCCCTGCTTGTGGAGCTCTCTCCCGGTCTCTCGAAATATGTTCCCAGGGCGCTTGCTGGGAACATACTTTCTTTGCTTGCGTTCGAGTGTTTCTTTTGTTCTTCGCCACCCTGCCCCTTCGTCTTTCTTCCCATGTCCTCCTGCTGCGGCTGCTCTTCATGCTACTCCTGCACCTCCCTTTGTCCTTCTTCTACCTCCTCCTGCTCCCCCTGAACCTCCCTTCCTCCCGCTCGCCTTCTTCTCCTCCTCACCCTCCTTCCCTTCCGCCTACTCCTTATGTCCTGCTCGTCCTGCTCCTCCTCCTTTTCCTGCCGCTCACCTTGTCCTGCGTGTCTGTCCTCCTCGTCCTTCTGATCCTCCTGCTCCCCCCCTCTTCTTCCTCCTCCTCCACCTCCTCCTTCTCCTCCTCCTCCTCCTTCTCGAGATTCCTCCTCCTGCTCTAGCCCTCCTCCTCGTTCCTGTCCTCCTCCTCCTTCTCGGGCTCCTCCTCCTGCTGTCACGAAGTATGTTCTCGGGGAGCTTCCTGGGAATATAAGTCCGCGTGCCTCCCTTTCTCCATCTCACCGATATTATCCTCCTTCTCGTTCCCCCCCTCTTCTGTCTCGGGCTCCTCCTCCTCCTGTCGTGCAAGATGTTCCCAGGAAAACTCCCCGGAACATGAGTCCCATCCCCTTGCTCAAGCGCCTGATCCCTCCTTGGCGGCCCTTCCCCCGCCTCCTTCTTCCTCTGATCCTCCTCCTCTGGCTGCTCTTCCTCCTATTCCTGTTCCTCTCCCTCTTCTTCGCCGCCTCTAGTGCATATATATATATAGTTATATATATATATAGTTATATATATGTATGTATACTATAAGCGGACGCGGAAGCGGATGAGGACGAGGGGGGCGAGCAGAAAGGCCAGCGGCCTCTTGGATTCCTGGATGCCTCTCGGCTCGGAGTCTCTTCGGTTGTCTCTCTTGATCTTGTAGCTTCTTAGAACCGCGTCTGGAGTCTTTGGGGCCTCCTTGCCCTTGAGGTGCCTGTTCCTCGGGGGAGCTTCTTGGGGCCCCTTTCGAGGTTCCTTTGAGGGCCTCTTGAGGGCCTCTTGGGGGCTTGTTTGGGGCTCCTGGGCGCCTCAAGCGAGGCCCTCTTGGCGTGCTCTTAGGGACCGAGGGCATAGCAGGCCACTGCTTTTCTTGTGTTGCCGCCTTCCAGCCAGCAGAAACACAACCGTGGTTGTGGTCATTTTCGTTAAGCTTGGCACCGGGGAAATGACCGCAACCACTGCTTTTTGTTCGGCGGGCTGGAAGGCGGCGCAAACAAGAAGCAGCGGCTGTGGTCTTTTTCCCGTCCCGCAACGTCCAGCGAGGGGGTCCACGCGCGCCCCCGCCCCATGTCGGCGCGCCCCCCGCGCGTTTCGCGGCCTCCCGGGAGCTCCGCCGAAGGGTCTGGGGGGGGGCCCGCGTGCGCCCCCCGCCCCACGTCCGCGCATCCCTCCCAGTGGAGGAGGAGGGAGGAGGAGGAGGAGGAGGAGGAGGAGGAGGAGGAGGAGGAGGAGGAGGAGGAGGAGGAGGAGGAGGAGGAGGAGGAGGAGGAGGATGAGGAGGAGGAGGAGGAGGAGGAGGAGGAGGAGGAGGAGGAGGAGGAGGAGGAGGAGGAGGAGGAGGAGGAGGGAGGAGGAGGAGGAGGAGGAGGAGGGAGGAGGAGGAGGAGGGAGGAGGAGGAGGAGGAGGAGGAGGAGGAGGAGGAGGAGGAGGAGGAGAGGAGGAGGAGGAGGAGGGAGGAGGAGGAGGAGGAGGAGGAGGAGGAGGAGGAGGAGGAGGAGAGGAGGAGGAGGAGGAGGAGGAGGAGGAGGAGGAGGAGGAGGAGGAGGAGGAGGAGGAGGAGGAGGAGGAGGAGAGAGGAGGAGGAGGAGGAGGAGGAGGAGGAGGAGGAGGAGGAGGAGGAGAGGAGGAGGAGGAGGAGGAGGAGGAGGAGGAGGAGGAGGAGGAGGAGGAGGAGGAGGAGGACTGAGGAGGAGGGAGAGGAGGACGAGGGAGGGGGGGAGGAGGAGGAGAGAGGAGGAGGAGGAGGAGGAGGAGGAGGAGGAGGAGGAGGAGGAGGAGGAGGAGGAGGAGGAGGAGGAGGAGGAGGAGGAGCTGGAGCTGGAGCTGGAGCAATCGGACGTTGTCCGTCGAGAAAAGGGCGGGGGCCTGGGGAGGGCCATCAAAATTTTGCCAGCCGTGCCGAGGGGGGCGACATCCCTCGCACGCTGCGACAGGCCCTCCCCAGGACAATTTACTCTTCAACAGTGCTTGCACTGCGCCACGCGGCGCCGCCAGGAACAGCCCCAGGGGAAGCGCGGTTATCATCGCGCCACGCGCGGCCCAACGGCCCAGGGGTCCACGGGGGACACGCCCGCGAGCGCGCCGAGAGCTCGCAGCAGGCCCAGCCTCAGCGCGCGCGGAAGGCGAGCTTCGCGGCGCGCAGGGCGGCGTCGTCGTCGTCGGAGTCGCACTCCCAAGGCGGCCTCTTCAGGGCCAGCTCGTTGCCGTCGCTCGAGGCCGACACGGCTTCCTCCTGCTCCTCGGTGGCGTTGCAGTGTGGGTCGCACTTGATGTACTTCTTCATCAGCTCGCCCGTGCTTTCGGAGTCGCCGAGGGCGTACCTGTCGTTGGCGTGGACCTCCGTCTTCATCAGGATGGGGTTGTCGATGCCCTCCTGCACCACGTCCCCGATCTTCTGCTTGTCGCCGTCCTCGGGGTGCGGCTCCTTGAGCTTGACCTCCGAGGGCGTCTCGCACTTCATCACCTGCTTCTCCTCGGGGCCATCGTGCAACAGGACCAGGACGTCCCCATCGTTCTTCTTCGTCAGGTGGTCCTGCTTCTCGGGGTCGTTCTTGGTCACTCCCTTGTAGAACCGAGTGTTCTTCAGGATCAGGACGTCCCCGTCGCTCATGGCCGCGATCCTCTCCTGCACCTCGTTGGTGGACTGGCAGCCTGGGTCGCACAAGATGTCATTCTTCATCTGCTCCTCATTCTTGTCGGGGTCGTGCAGGGACTTCCCTTTGTAGAAGCGAGTGTTCTCCTGGACCAGCACATCCCCGTCGCTCATGGCCGAGACCAGCTCCTTCGCCTCCTCGGTGGCCTTGCTGTCTGGGGCGTGGTCGCTGGCCTTCTTTATCCGCTTCCCCATCTGCTTCGCAACTGGCTGAAGCGAGATTGTCTCCTTGAGCTCCTCAGTGGCAGTGCAGATTGGGGCGCCCTTGATGTCCTTCTTCGCCCCCTTCACGCTCAGGGCGTTTGGCTGCTCCGACGCGTCCTCGGAGTGGGAGTCTCTGCTGCTCGGCACGTCGGTGGACGCCTCCTCGGTCCGCATGGCCCCGACCGCCGCCGCCGCCAGCGCAGCATCCCGGGCCACCTCCAGCGCGGGCGTCGCGGGCGGGGCCCTGCCATGGCGCCCTTGGCCTCCGCGCCGCCCGACCCGCCGCGCCGCCATGGCAGCAACAGGGAGGCCACAGCCATGGAGGCCGCGCGCCACCGCGCCTGCGCTGTGGGGCCAGGCGCCGGTGGCGGCCTCGGTCACTGCCTGGAGCCGCAGTTCCTCCTCGGCAGCCGCCTGCCGCGGGGCGAGGCCGTCGGCGCCGGCGCGCGCGCGCCCCGCTGCAGCGAGGAGGTGCGCCTCCACGGCGTCGCAGCTCGACGCGGCCGCCACGAGCGTGGCGCAGGCGGCCGTTGAGCCCTCGGCGCGGGCGCTCGCCGCCGCGGCCCTGCACGCGCCTGCCGCC